TTTAACACACCTCCCACATACAATACACACCACACACACACACACACACACACACACACACACACACACACACACCATGTAAAATCAATTTACATATATTGGCTTTTTTTTTTTTTTTTTTAACAAAAAAACACATGCAGCAGAATGCATTTTAGCCTAAATTTATACACCCACCGATCCAGGGCTGAATGAAGGTCTGCTTGAAAAACTGACAGACTTGGTCGGATCGCCCATGTAAAAAACATGGCCTAAATCGTTAAGTGCAGTTACATTTAGGCTAGGTTCACATCTATGCAGATTGCGGTTGATGCATTTTCCTGGTGCATATTTGATTTTTTTTTTTATGCATTTTGCGCTTTGTGACTTGTCAAGGAGTGGGCAGCTACCAGCATCCTTAACCACTTGGGTTAACTGTGTTCTTTTTACTAGAGAGGCATGCTGTTTTGTATCGCAGTATGGCCATGTCGGACAGGAGAGAGACCTGTGTTTACACAAAGGTCTTGCCGCTGTCAGCTTTAACTGAAGATCGCCAAGTGCTGGCTGTGAATCACTGGCCAGGACCTGGTGACTGACATCTCTATCCCCCCAATAGCGGCGCGGGTAGGACGGCATGCACTCCCTACCCAGAAATGCAAAAAAAAAAGAAATAATTTTATATATATATATATATATATATTATATATATATATATATATATATATATATATATATAAACACACTCAGCCCTGCCACCCTGTAACAGTACTTCATAGATTCATTTCCATGTTGTCTTTCAATTATTTCTAGCCTACTCCTATTGATCTAAATGATTTTGAAGTCTGTAAAGTTACTTTGTGAAGATCACACATTTAGCTCCTTGAATTTTGTGACATGCAATCGCTATGCCCTGTACTGCTGTGCTACACATTACAGAGCCTGCCTTCTGAACTACAGGGGTGCTGAGAGGAGGAGGAGTTTCAAGAGGCGAAGTCAGTACAAGAAGCACTGTTTGCGGTTTACTTTCTGCTTCCAAGGACTACATATCCCATGGTACCTTATTGCCTGCAGAGGAGAGGCTGCAAAGCATGAAGGGAATCTGAGAACTTTTCGAAATATGACGGTCAGCATACAAAACGGAATTTAGGACTTGAAAGGAGATTGTTCAAGTAAGCTTATATTGGATTGTCAAAAAAAATAACTAAAAATATTGTTTGGATGGTTATTACAATGCTGATGTTATAAAATGAGAGTGAATGATGTGACCATAGAACTCCTTTAAGCTTTGAATAGAGTAGGGAATAGATAGCATAGATAAAATTCTGTTTTCCTCTCACTTCAGAACAAAATGAGGGAAGTGTCCCCAAGCGGTCCCTGAGAAAGAAAAAAGGCACAGACAGCAGTAAAAAACCACAATCAAATGTTCTAACCCTTCCCCACTCTACTAAAAATGGGATTGAAGTGTTGTCTTTGTCCCCATGGAGGAGATTTATCAAAATGTCTTGTCCTAATAGAAAGCAAGGGGAAATCTCTCCAATACAGACATCATAGTAAAAGCCTGACAAAAGCTATAACAATTTTCAGCTTTATCCAAACAAAAACAATGGGTTTGTCCGGAGTTGTGCTTAGAAATCAAAGTAGAGTACTAGGTGCCTTTCCATAAAGCCATGAGCAGGGATCCTTCCCGTTCACACTCTTAACTCTTCATTTAAACTAAAGGACTACATACTGTATAAACAATATTCTCCTGGCAAAAGGGAGCGCAATTTATTTTATATTTGCCCGCATGCATTGGTGTACAGTCACTGACCCCCTCCCCCCCAGCTCTCTTTTTAGCAGCTCCATAAAAAAGGAAAGTTAACTGACCAGAGAAGATAATTCAGCCGGTTCAGCGGGGACCATGTGTGGGCATCCCTGGTTGATGGGATTGTTGGAAAACTTGTCGAACAGTGGTTGCAGCTGCTGATCAAAGTATTCTGACAGAAGAGAGTTCTGCTGCCAGAATGCAATGTCACAACAGAGGAAATTCCTTCATCCACCTTGCCAGCTTAAAGAATATGTAAACCCAACATTTCATATTCCTAATATGTGCCTTCTGTACCACGTACTTTTATGAAAAAAAAAAAAAAAAAAACAAACATTCTGTTCTCTTTGTATTGCTTCCTTTGTGGGAAATCCCTGGTGTTCCTGCCAGTACCTCTACTTTTCTATTAAAGACTGACCAAACTAGGCATGAGAGCACAGCATGGTCAGTTCTCTAGCTATGCTGGGAACTCAGTGTGCTCTACTCCAATGATCATGACTTCTGCTGACACACACTCCCTGCACAGTGACGATAAATATACTGCGGTTTCTCCTCTCCAGCTCTTATGCAGCTGAGAACAGATGGGATGCGATCACTGAAAAGGGGAATACATAAAAAAAAAAAACCCACACAAAAAGGATTGCTTTTCATTTCTTTTTTAAACTGAATGGGTTGTTTTACACGGTGAGGATTTACAATCAGTTTAAATGTGTTCACCTTAAAGTCTTTTTTTTGTACGAATTCCACATTTTACATTGCAATATTTTTTACTGTATTAAAACAGATATGCAGACCAGAGGGAGCTCTGTATTTGACTTGCTGATTAACAATTGCAAAGATAACTAATCAGTAAACATGGATGCCACTATGTACATGTATAAATTATTAAAAGAAAGAAGGTTTCTAAATCATTTGCAATAAAATGGAACCTGCTAAAAAGTTAAAATCATGATTGTCAAATATTAAATGCTTGCTGAATCGAATGCTTTAAAGGCTAGCATTCACAAGCGCTGTCGCACTTTGAACAACAATTGCACGGTCATGCAACGCTGCACACAAATTAAATTTTGTCCTTTTTTCCCACAAATTGAGCTTTCCTTTTGGTGTTGCACTTATTTTTTGCGCTATAAAAAATAAATAAAAATTGTCAAATGTAGGCCAAAATGTATTCTGCGACATGTCTTTGCTAAAAAGAAAAAAAAAATCCAAATACGCGTAAATTAATTGGTTTATGTGAAAGTTATAGTGTTTACAAATGGTGGTATAGGTATTGGGATTTTTTCTCTTTTTCCTTCCCAACTAGTAATGGTGGCAATCGGCGACTTTTAGCAGGACATTTTCAGTGTGCTGGAGCTGACAGGGAGGGAGACTAAATTGTTGGCAATCACCGGGCACCGGCAGGTAATTACCCGCCAGGACCCGGTGATTGACATCAGTGGCCGCGAATGGTGGCGCAGGTAGGGCGTGCGCACTCCCCTACCCGGAAATGCAAAATCACGCATATATACATATGCCGCCCTGTAGCAGTATATCTGCTTTAGGGCGGTAGTTAAGCGGTTAATAAACTGTGAACCTAGTAACATTGTACTACTCTGGGGGAAGTGCTTTTTTTTTTTTTTTTTTTTTTTATAAAACAGTTGTGCGCAAAGAGCATTTTAGGAGGGCCCCTACCCAGAACAAGCAAAATCCTGCCCAGCTGTCATATTAGAATAGGCCAAGCGGTTAGTGGTTAAAGTATATGTGAACTCTTACTTTGTAAAACAACCCATTCAGTTTAATCGCTTTGGTGCCACCCTATAGCAGAAATCCTGCACAAAATCTCACACACACACACACACAGTAGGGGGGGGAGTGCCACCGTTCACGACCTCGGCTGTCAATCACCGGGTCCCGGCCTGTGATTCCCCGCCGGCACCCGGCGATCTCCGAGAATTACCGATGGAGGAGAGACCTGTGTATAAAAACAGGTCTCTCCCGTCAGCTCCTGCACACTGCAGAGCCACACAAAGCAGTGTGCTTACAGTGGAAAGCACACACACCTAACCGTTTTATCGCCCCACATGTTAACCCCTTCCTGCCCAGTGTCATTAGTACAGTTTCAGTGCTTTTTATTAGAACACCAAGTCAGTTCCCTCCCAGTGTCAGAATGTCCGCCGCAGTCCTGCTATAAGTTGCTTATCGCTGCCATTACTAGTAAGAAAAATTTACAGATGGCGGGATATATACTGGAATTTTTTTTTTCTTTTAAACGCTATTACTTTCATGTAAACCAATTGATTTACACGTATTAGGATTTTTTTTTTAGCAAAGATGTAGCAGAATACATTTTGGCCTAAATTTATGTCGAAATATGATTTTTACATTTTTTTTTACTGGACATGTTTAACAAAAATATGTTGTTTTTCCCTCAAAATTGTTTTCTTTGTTTATAGTGCAAAAAAACGAAACAAAGAAAAAAAAAAAGACAAGACTTAAATTTAATTTGGGTGCAGCGATGCATGACCGTGCAATTGTCAGTTATAGTAATGTAGCGCCGCATCACAAAAAATTGGCCTGGTCAGGAAGAAGAGTAAACCCTTTTGAGGGCAAAGTGGTTAAAATAGAAATGAAAATCAAAACATTTGTGTATATAATTTTTTAATTTATAAGTGACCTATGTGATCTCGATTCTCAGCTGCATATGGGTCTTGGTGAGGTGGAGGTGAAGACTGCAGGGGGCATGTCAGCAAGAGGCAGAGAACACCTCTTTACTGATCTTCCCAGTCAATGGCTGTGCAGGTGTGTCAACACAAGTCTGACCATTGGAAGACAGGCAAGCTGTGCTCCCAGCAAAGCTGGAAAACTGACCACGCTGGGATGAATGTGCTTCCAAGCTCTGGTGTAGTCATTTTGAAATATATAGCAAAGAGACTGTCAAGATCACCAGGTATTTCACGTAGGAAGAAGCAATATAAAGAGAATAGAATACATTTTAAAACACAAGTACAAGGTACAGCAGGCACTTATCAGGAATGTGAAATGTTAACAAAACACTTGAATTATGTTTTGGTGTTTACAGCCCTACAGTTAGGGCAGATGACGTTGGGGCATGCTCCTAATGTCAGCGCTCCCAGGTGTGACCAGAGGTGTGTGACTGACGCAGGGAAACGCAGACTTCAGATATGTGATAAACAATATAATTTATTAACACTAACAATACAAACATAAACGCAGTGCAATACTAAAACATTATACAGTGCAAACAAACCAAACCAACCACCCACAGATAACAGTACATACAAGCAACCGTCGTCAGGCAGGCCGGGTCAATATCAATAGGGCAGGTAGGTACAGGGGGAGCAAGCGGAGATGGGTCGGGGTCACAGGCCAGGTTCAGCAGGTAGCTAGCAGCGTAGTACAGAGGGTCAGGCAGAGGGATGGTCAGGGCCACAAGCCAGGGATCAGAACAGGTAGCAAGCAGCGTGGTACAGAGGGTCAGGCAGAGGGATGGTCAGGAGCGAGCCGGGATCAGAGCAGGAGAAGTCAGCAGCGGTTCAGATCAGGCAGGGTCAGCAAAGGAACAGAAACAGGATGCAGGACAGATACAGGGCCCAGGACAAACACAACACCAAGGCAGAGTCTGCAAGTCTGGCCATCCCTTAAATACACCAGTATCATCAGTTCCAGGTGTTAGCTGGCTGAAAGGTTGAGTCTCTGATTGCTGGGAGCACCCGCTGGCCAGCCCTGGTACTGCAGATCAAAAGGCAGGTGAGTCCCACCATTGCTGGCCAGTCCATTCCTGACACCTAATGAGACGACGTATGGTGTCCTGGGGTATTTCCTCCCAGGTCTGGACCAGGGCATCACTGAACTCCTGGACAGTCTGGAGGTAGAACATGGCAGCGATGGATCGAAACAGGAAACAGAGGTGTTCTATTGGATTTAGGTCAGGCGAGCGTGGGAGCCATTCAATGGCATTAATTCCTTCATCTTCCAGGAAGTGCCTGCTTACTCTCACCACATGAGGTCGGGCATTGTCATGCACCAGGAGGAACCCAGGACCCACTGCACCAGCGTAGGGTCTGACAGTGGGTCCAAGGATTTCATCCCGATACCTAATGGCAGTCAGGGTGTCATTGTCTAGCCCAGTGTTACTCAACCTTTTTTCATTGAAGGTACCCTCTAATATTATGGACAGTCCCGAGGCACCTCATTCTAAAAATGTAAACACACTATTCTAATAGTTTTATATATAAAAACGCAGCAACATCCACACATGTAGGACACCCAATGCTAGTGACATTCTTCCAAATCAAATACATTTTTTCACACTGGTCCTGACTAGTATTACAGTGTTTCTCTCAGTTTTACTCCATCACTGAGCTAAATGTGACCCCAGCAGTGATGGAGAGGGGCAGGAAAGGGTCAAACAAGGATGTTGTGCAGGCAACTGACATCCTCCTCAACTGATGAGGTCATTGGTTGTCAGGACTGCAGTAGCTAGAAGGTCACACTGGTGCACAATGAAACCCTCAGGCTTTGTGTAACTAAAAGTCAGGCTACTTCCACCCTCTAGCTTGTATATAAGTTTTGTGTAACTTTTAGACATTTTGCCAAGGCACCCTTGAAGAAACCTCAAGGCACCCTGGTTGAAACGGGGCTGGTCTAGCTTGTAGAGCTTTGTGCGTCCCAACATGAATATGCCTCCCAAGACCATCATTGACCCACCACCAAAAAGGTTATGCTGAACATGACCGTTATGCACAGCTTCTCAAATGTGCTCAGGATGAACCTGCTTTCACCTGTGAAAAGCACAGGGTGCCAGTGGCGGACCTGCCAATTCTGGTGTTCAATGGCAAATGCCAAATTGAGCTCTATGGTACTGGGCAGTGAGCCAGGCAGTGAGCGTAGGGCCCACTAGAGGACGTCGGGCCCTCAGGCTCACTGCCCTCATGAAGTCTATTTCTGATTGTTTAGTCAGGGACATTCACACCAGTGGCCTGGAGGTCATTTTGTAGGGCTCTGGCAGTGCTCATCCTGTTCACCCTTGCACAAAGGAGCAGATACCACTTCTGCTGATGGGGTAAGGACCTTCTACAGCCATGTTCAGCTCTCCTAGAGTAACTGCCTGTCTCCTGATATCTCCATGCTCTTGAGACTGTGCTGGGAGACACAGCAAACCTTCTGGCAATGGCACATATTGATGTGCCATCCTGGAGGAGTTGGACTACCTGTGCAACCTCTGTAGGTCCAGGTATTGGCTCATGTTACCAGTAGTGGCACTGACCCTATCCAAATGCAAAACTAGTGGAAAACAGTCAGAAAAAGATGAGTATGGAGAAGAAAAAAAAAAAAAAAAAAAAAAAAATTCAGTGGCCTCCACCTGTAAAACCATTCCTGATTTGAGGGTCGTCTCCTTGTTGCCCATCTAGTGCACATGTTATTTCATTAACACCAAAGCAGCTAAAAACTAAATTAACAACCCTCTCTGCTACTTAATTGACTAGATCAATATCCCAGGAGTTTAAAAATTGACTTGATGCTATACTTGGATTAAAAAAAAAAGTGTTCCTTTAATTTTTTTGAACAGTGTATATAGGAATTTATGCAGCTTTTATGTTCTGACTGCCTATCACATTTGAGGTGCTAAAAATGCCAGGGCAGTACAAAAAAAACCCAAATTACCCTTTTTGGAAAGTAGACACTACAAGGAATTTGCTAAGAGGCATGTTGAGTCCATGGAAGATCTTATTTTTTGCCACAAATGATTGGAAAAAAAAAAAATGCTTTTTTTTTTTTTCTTTTTATCCAAATTTGTCATTTAAATGATATATTGCTCATGCATGCCATGGGTATATGTGGAATAACACCCAAAAAACACATTGCTATTTCTCCCAGAGTATGGGGATACCGCATGTGAGAGACTTTTTGGCAGCCCAACTACATACGGGTCCCGAAAATCCAATGGCCACCTCCACGCTTTGAAAAAGGGCTCTGAGGAAGAGGCAAATCCTCGAAACATGTTAGCCAGTGGAAGTCCATAGTTCCCAATGCGGACAGACAGCTGTTCCTTTATGATGTGCCTTTGCATGTATTGTCATTTTGTGAGTACCTTCTTTTATTAAACACATTTTTTAAGGTAATGCACTAGGCCTGTGCGCCCTCTGTTTGTTTTCTTTATTCAGTACATTTGGACTCCCCCAGTCTCTTGAGGGCAGCAAGGTGTGCATATTCCAGGACATTCGTGATGTGGTCCTAATTTGTACTGAGTCCATTCCTAAGTGCAAAAACATCTGGGTTTGCTCTTCCTTTACCATTTCCTCAGGTCACTTCCTCACTACCTATCAGAGTTTCAGAGGCCCTAAAATGCCAGGATAGTACAAAACACCCCTCCAGTGACCTCTTTTTGAAAGTAGAAAACCCAAGGAATTTGATAAGAAGCATGGTGAGTATTTGGCAGATATTTTTGTGACAGGGTTTTGAAAAAAAAATTTTTATGTTACAGAGTATTTGTGCACAGATTTTTTTTTTTTTTTTTTTTTTTTAAAAAAAAAAAAAAAAATACACTTTTTAGAACATTAAATTAACAAAAAACACAATGTATTGCCCAATTGTCTGACAAAATATAAAAGATGAAGTTATGCCGAGTAAATGGATACCAAACATTACATGTTTTAAAATTGCACACGTCCGTGCAACGGTGACAAACTACGTACATTTTTTATATCCAAAAAGGTGACACTTTAAAAGCCTTCGCATGTGACCACTTTAGATTTACACAAGTGTTCCAGTGCTAGAATGACTGCCCTCGATCTGACGTTCATGGCGATACCTCACATGCATGGGGAAATCTGTTTACATACCGACATGGGACCGTCGCTTGCATTTGCTTTTGACCGCAAACACAGGGGTGGGGGTGAGTTTTTTTTTTTATTATTTTGCTTTTTTTTTTTTCACTGTCCCTTTAATTTTTTTTCTTAAACACTTTTATTACCATCTGTGTGCCAATGAGGAAATTTTCCTTCACTTCCTGTCCCAGAGATGCAATAGACTGCGAAAGGAAATCTCCCACAGTGACAGGAATTTCCCTCTGAGAAACTTTGAAAGGGTTATGAAAAGATTACCAGGTAGTCTGTAGTTGCTGAAAATGTTTTTTAGCTGAAAAGAAATCTAATGCAATCACTGTCTCTAAAGACTGATAAATTGCAATGTCATACATTTGTCTTCTTGGGATTTAAATGCAAAAATATTAAAAAAAAAAAAAAAAAAAAAAATTGAAATGGGTGTTTGTGTGGGGATGTCCGTGACACCAAGTCAGTTCCCCCCAGTGTCAGAATGTCAACCGGAGTCCCACTACAAGTCGCTGATTACTAGTAAAAATAAAAATCCCAGTATATATACACCATTTGTAAATGCTATAAACTTTCATGTAAACCAATTAATTTACACGTATTGGGATTTTTCATTTTTTAAGGAAAATACATTTTGGCGTAAATTTGATTTTTTTACTGTACATGTTTAATAGCAAAAAGTCAAAAATATTATCAGAATGGCCCACCCCGCATACGTAGTGTAGCTGAAATGGAAGAACTCATTTATATAGCAGAGATTCCCCTGCTAAAAATTTGATTCTAAATGGGCTTGCTGGACACATTTCCAGACAACTGAAGAGTTCGCTCTCTTGACGGATAAAACCTTCTCCCCAATAATGACATTACCATTATCTAAGAGATTTCCCATATATACCCAGCTTTTTCCAGGCTATTTATTAACCCTGAGGATGGGTTTGGGCATTAGGAAACTTATCCGGTTGGACTCATTTTCCGTCAACCCACAGCCTTCTATGGGGTGTAGGGGAGGGGGAGTGGAGTGACCCTTTAATGTCCAGCGAAGGGTGGCAAGAGAGAAATGTTACCTCCCTCTGACATCCTTCCTCTATATATTAAGCTACATCACTGATACCCATCTTATTCCCCCCCCCCCCCCTTCTCTCCTCTTCTGCTTTGCCACATGCATCCACCCCCCACCTTCCCCCACCCACTCTATTTCCTACTTCTAGATTCCTCTTCTTTTTTTCTCCTCTCTTTCTCTGGGATGGTGCCTCCAGCACCACTGAAATCAACATAGTTCATATCTGGCTTAGAGTTCCACCAACAACAACTAACGTATCTCAATATATTTTATCCGGCCACCAACATTCCAAAAATGGATTCCATGCTTAGGTCTTATCATGATATCTAAGTACGACATTAACATTAGGTTTTAATAACTATATTCGACTCAAGCCCCTCTTCATTTCTTTCTTGGTCTCACTGTTCCTCCTCTTAGTTCCTAGGTTTTTGTTACAGGGTCGGGCCCCTTCATTTCCTATGTGTTTAATTTACACGTTATGTATTTAATGTCTGACATACGGCCTATTATAATATAGAGTCTAGCAAATTGCTGATTCGATTTAAACAACCCATGGTTCTTTATCTAGGTATCTGTTTTTCATTGTTCAATAAACTCAGTTTTTCTCAAAAAAAAAAAAAAATTGATGTTTATATTGTGTCAGTATGAAACGGCGAGTGATAGATGGACGCTATGGGGTTTATTTACTAAAGCTGAGAGTCCAAAATCAGATCCCTCTGCATAGAAACCATCAGCTTCCAGGTTT